AAGTTTGACCATGTGGTAGTAGCCATAGAAGAGTCAAAAGACTTGTCAGTATTAACGAAGAAAGAGTTTTAAGGGACGCCAGAGTCTCGTGAACAAAGAATGGCTGAAAAAGCTGCAGCAAAGTCGAAGAGTGACGTGGCTTTGAAGACGCAGTCAGAAAAAGAAAAGAAAGGCAAAAGAAGCTGGAATAACAACAAAGGTAGAAGAGGCTACAATAATTCGACTGATCGAAATCAGCAGGAAAGTAACTGGTCGAATTAGAGAAAACCCTGGAACCAAGGCAACCCAATAGGTGGTGTTGCAGGTAGAGGAAGAGGTGGTGGTCGAAAGTCTAACAAAAGTCACATCCAATGTTTCAATTGTCAGAAGTATGGTCACTATTTTAGTGAGTGTCGAGAAAAGAAGAAGAATCAAGAAACTGATGGAAAGCTGGCGAAACATGAAGAAGAATAGATGTTGTTGATGGTCACAACAAGAGATGAAAAAAAATTCTAGGATCAGTGGTACTTAGACTCAGGATGCTCATCACACATGACTGGTAGGAAAGATTGGTTTATTAACATGAAGCCTTCAATGAAAAATATAACGAAATTTGCAAATGTCAATACTCTAACAGCTGAAGGTATTGGTGATGTTATGATTATGAGAAAAGATGGCAAGAAGTCAACAATTTCCAATGTGTTGTACATACCCGACATGAAGAGTAATTTGCTCAGTATATGATAATTGGTCGAAAAGAGCTACAAGGTGTCGATCAAAGACAAGATGATGAGAGTTCTCGACGCAGGTGGTAGGTTGATCTTGAAAGCTTCAATCTCTCAGAATAAAACCTTCAAGATTGAACTTAATATGATGGAGCATAGGTGCCTTACAACTGCAACTAGCAGAGATGAATGGATATTGCATTATCTACTTGGCCATCTCAATTTCAAAGACATCAGAGATTTGAAGAGAAGAAATATGGTTTCAGGATTACCAGAAATTGACATTACAAATGAAGTATGTGAATAATGTGTTCAGGCGAAACAACACAAGAATAACTTCAGTAAGGATGCATGAAGGAAGTTGAAGGTAATTCTCAAAGTCATATACTCTGATGTATGTGGTCCTATCCAAGTGGATTTGATTAGAGGTAACAGATGCTTTGTCATGCTCACAGATGATTTCAGTCGAAAACTGTGGACTTACCTGATCGAGAAGAAAAGTGAAGTGATCGAGGTGTTTGCCAAGTTTAAATTTATGGTCGAAAGGCAAAGTGGTCAAAAGCTAAAGATTCTGAGGACTGGTGATGGTAGAGAGTATGTGTCAAAATATTTCGATGCATTATATGAGAAAGAAGGGATTGTGCATGAGGTGGTGTCACCCTACACTCCACAACATAATGGGACTGCAGAAAGGAAGAATAGAACCATCATAAACATGGTGAGAAGTATGTTGAAAGACAAGAATCTACCCAAAGAACGATGGGAAGAATATGTATCGACTGCAACATACATCTTGAATATATATCCGACGAAGAAGCTATAAGGAATCACGCCAAAAGAATGTTGGTTTGGTGTCAAGCCTAACTTAAGTCATTTGAAGATGTTTGAATCTATAACACATAAGCCCGTGCCAAACTAGTTGAGAAGAAAACTTGATGACAAGTCGAGTCAGATGATCCTGATAGGATATCGTTCGACTGAAGGATACAAGTTGTTCGACCCAGTGAACAAACAAGTTATGACCAGCAAGGACGTGATCATAGATGAGTTTAAGGAATGAGATTGAACTGAGAATGTAAAAAAAGATTCACTGAGAATCTTATGTGAAGAACCGACTAGTGAAGTCGAAAAAGAAGTTTGACAAGAAGAAGTCAGAGGTGAAGCAGGCCCAAGCAAACCTCAAAGAACAAGACACATGCCTGCAAGGTTGCAAGAATGTGTGATTACTTCAAATGATGTGGTCGGTGAAGAAGGCGAGCTGATACACTATGCTTTCTACACAGATGTCACCAGTCAATGCAGTTGAGGCATTGAAAGATTCGAAGTGGGTGAAAGCAATGAACGGAGAAATATAGTCCATCGAAGTCAACAACACTTGGTCACTTGTCGAATTGTCTCAAGGCAAAAAGGAAATTGATGTGAAATGGGTTTACAAGGTGAAGGTGAATCCTAAAGGAGAGGTAGCTCGATACAAGGTGAGACTTGTGGCGAAAAGATTTCTTCAAATGGAAGGAATCAACTTCAACGAAGTTTTTGTACCTGTTGCTAGGATCGAAAGAATCAGGTCGGTTGTTGGTCTAGAAAATATGAATAATTGGCACACATGTCAGATGGATGTGAAATGTGCATTCTTGAATGGCCCCTTAGACGAAGAAGTTTAAGTTGCACAACCAGCTGAGTTTGTGAAACAAGGTGAAGAAAGAAAGGTGTACAGACTGCATAAAGCTCTATATGGACTTAAGTAAGCTCCAAGAGTTTGGAATAAGAAGATCAATAGCTTTTTAAGGGAGAAGAAATTTGTAAAGTGCACAACTGAGCATAAAGTATATGTAAGGAGAAGAAATAGTGAATTGCTTATACTATGTCTCTATGTCGATGACCTGTTGGTAACAAGAAGCTGCAAGAAAGAGATCAAAGATTTCAAACATGACCTAAGTGAGGAGTTTGAAATGTCAGACTTGGGAAATCTCTCATATTTTCTTGGCATCAAATTCTACAAGAGTAGTAGAGGCTTGATGATGCACCAAAGAAGGTATGCAGGCGAAATACTAAAGAGATTTGAGATGTAAGATTGCAATCCAACTTCGACTTCAGATGAGACTAGATTACGATATCGAAGGATTAAGATGAATATGATGTCGACCTAATCCAATATAGAAGACTTATTGGGTCACTTCGATAACTTTGTCACACAAGGCCTGACTTAGCATACGATGTGGGTATGGTAAGTAGATTCATGCCGAAGCCAAAGGTATCACACCTAGCAGCGACGAAGAGGATACTTAGGTATCTGAAAGGAACTCTCGACTATGGCATTTTGTTTCCTGCAACTGATGAAGGAAAAGAATGCAAGATAGTGAGATACACTGATTCAAGTTGGTGTAGTGATGCTGAGGATAGAAAATCCACAGCTGGATATGTGTTTATGTTAGGTGGTGCACCAGTTACTTGAAGTTTGAGAAAGGAGCTAGTAGTGGCATTGTCATCACGTGAAGCAGAATACATGGCTGCTTCTTTTTGTGCATGTCAAGCAACATGGATGGTGAACTTGGTCGAAGAGATTACGACAAAGAATCATGAAGCAATTACCATGAAGATCGATAACATGTCAGCTATCAACCTGACGAAGAATCCAATAGCACATGGTCGAAGCAAACACATCAAAATGAGGTTCTATTATCTCTGATAGCAGGTAACAGAAGGGAAGATGAACTTGGAACACTACAGAACTGAGAATCATATTGCAAATATCATGACGAAAGAGTTGCAGATCGAAGTGTTCAAGAAGCTAAGGTCTACAATGAATGTAGATAGATTAGACACGATGAATTAGGTGGTGTGTTGAGTTGTAATTCCTTGTGTTGAAGCAGTGTGACTCGACAGAAACAAAGTCTAGTCGAATTACCCTAATATTTATGTGTCGAGTTGTATTAGTGTGTCGAAGTGTCGAATCAGGGTGCTTCACACATAATTTCGACTTAGGCCTATTTTAGTAATGTTAGCTATTTTGGGGTTTTATAGTTTTGCCCTTTGGCCTGAGGTGCAAGCTAACCTAAATCTATAAATAGGGAGAAACTCTTATTTTATAAACAACTACTCATTGTATTTACAATTTGCAGTTGCAAGTGAATAAGAGATTTTTAGAGTTTGTGGGCAGAGAGTCGCAGAATTTTTCATCTTCTTCTCCAACGTTTCTTTTTTTTCTCAACTTTTCATTGTCATTGCGTGATTGATAACAATCTTAAAATCAAGATTGAGTGTAATTCTCCATAAAATGTGGTTGAATTTTCAACAATTTTGACGGATTTTCTTTCATCTAAATCATTAATATCAAATTTCTATATCTAAGTTTAACAACTCTGTATCAAACATTCAAATTTAATACAATTCTTTAAAACTAGAATGAAAATCTATGTCGGTTGCTTTAGAGTATTCAATAAATCTCCCTTTTTTAGGTGGCTTCAATAAATGAGATTTTTAATCCCCCGTACATAGTTTTATATTATTAATTTCACCAACATTCATTTACCTTTTTTTCTTTGACTCAAACATTCATTTACTTAATACTTAATAATATATTTATATATTGACACATTATAAAACTTACAAGTCAATTTACTTATTCAATTATATTTCAACGATTATTTTAAATTAAAAAATACGCACAACCAACTATTAATAAAATATTATTATTAACAAATTAAAATTAAAATTAAAATTAAATTTTTTAACATATGAGTTATAATTAACAAATAATTACAATATAAAATATCAATGCATATGAATCAAAATTTTAAAATATTTAAGGAAAAATATTATCTCCTTTACAAAATTATAATATGAAAATCATATGTAAACAATTAAGGGTAAAGGAGATAATATCGAAGATCTATTCTTTCTATTTTTAACGGTTGAGATCATCCTGTGGCGTGTGGTCAATTTTGACTGCCTCATGGAATTCATTACAAAATATAAATATAGTTGGAATATTCGTTTGAAGCTTCTTCTCAATCGTCTTTATCTCATATACTGAAAATTTCTCTCTCTCTCTCTCTCTCTCTCTCTCTCTCTCTCTCTCTCTCTCTCTCTCTCTCTCTCTCTCAATTCAGATCCTCTGGACTGAAACAGTTTCTGCTTCTACCTCATCCCAACTACTTTTTTCGCTCACCAATTTCGGACTTTTTGCCTTTGTTTGCTGAATTTTGAACTGTTTCCGTGATTTTCGATCTAGGTTTTCTAGTGAACATTATTTTGCTGTGTTTGATTTTTCCCCAATAAGAAAGAAAGAAGAACAAGATGCAGAAGGATCAACTCAAGAAGGTTGCTTCTTTATTCTGACTTTGAAATTGCCCCTTTGTGTTTAGGGTTTGTTACTGTATTTTGAGTTGACACGGAACTGGAAGGTGTGAACGAAATCTAAAATTAGAAATTGGGGTCGCAGAAAAAGTAGAAAGTTAGGTTTATTTAGGTTTGAAAAAGGTTATGGATTTAGGGTTAAGAGCTGGAGTATGATGAAGCATTTTTGTGGTATAAATTGTTGCTTTATGTGTTTATAGTTGTTCCTGGATACGAAGTTGAGGGTTTTCTGCTTCTTAGTTTATGTGATTTTAGTTTTAATTGAGCATCTGTTATCACTGTTGGGTTGGTTTAATGGTGAGTGTTTATGGATGGATATTGATCAGTGGCCATTAACATTTTATTTGTATTTCAGTATTGATTATTTTGTGTTTGTTGGAATTTTTTGATATAATTTTAGAGTCCATTTGAGTCTTTTATTTATGTATAAGAAGATACGATTATTTGGTAGCTTATATAATTTAATGATTTTTTGTGATGATTTGTGAAACCATAATGATTAAACTGCATTGTGTTTATTAGGTTAACTTGTGTTACTTTTATATTTAGTTATGTTGGTTCCTACCAATTTTTTGTCTAGTGATTCTAGTTATTTTGTAGTTTTGATAAAGAGTTGTATGGAACATAATGTATGGAATAATTTATTGACGTGCAGGATATTAAAGAGGTAAAGTTTTTCACCGAGTACGGAGACGCCAACCGATACAAAATTCTCGAAGTTATTGGTAAGGGTAGCTATGGAGTTGTTTGTGCAGCAATTGACACACACACTGGTGGAAAAGTAGCAATCAAGAAGATTCATGATGTTTTTGAACATAACTGCGATGCCATTAGAATCCTCAGGGAAGTCAAGTTGCTAAGACTTTTAAGACACCCTGATATTGTTGAGATTAAGCGGATTATGTTGCCGCCTTCAAAGAGGGAGTTTAAAGATATTTATGTTGTCTTTGAACTCATGGAGTCTGATCTCCATCAAGTCATCAAAGCTAACAATGACTTGACTCGTGAACACCAACAGTTTTTTCTTTATCAGATGCTTCGAGCATTGAAGTTTATGCATACAGGTCTTAACTCTCTCACTTTTGGCCTTCAAGTGCATTTACACTTATGTCATATTTATATATTATAAATCGAGGCGCTTAATTGCTTTTACTTAATCTTATGTACTGTTGCAGCTAATGTATATCACAGAGACCTCAAGCCGAAGAATATACTGGCAAATGCAAACTGCAAACTCAAAGTCTGTGATTTTGGACTTGCAAGAGTTGCATTCAATGATACGCCAACAACAACTTTTTGGACGGTAATGTTGTCTATTCGATTTGCATTTCTAATAAAGCATGTGAATGGTATGGCTGTTTCTGTATGAAGTTGAGGTTTTTCAAGCTTCCTTTTTGGTGCATATTTCAGGATTATGTTGCTACAAGATGGTATAGAGCCCCTGAATTATGCGGATCTTTCTTTGCTAAGGTATAGTTTTGTTAAAGTTTTTGTATATAACTCATCTGTGGTTTCTTGAGGTTATAGTTTGTGGCAATAATTTTATGTGGTCATCTGGACCTTTGGAGACAAACTATTTTCTTAACTTTATTATTACCAATCCAAGTTTGAACAATAATAACGGTTTTCTTGATTTTTTTTCATTGTATATCATATTAACTGGCTTTCTGTAACTGGTATGTTTTCCGAGATTTGAGTTTTTGTTTTATCGTGCTTGTAATGGTCGAATCCCCTAAAGCTTTAATTTGAAATTCTAACCATATTTTTAAGTTTGAGTGAGGCAGAACAATGAGTTTTGAGTACCGTGTTCAGTTTGGATGTGCGACATAGAAAAGCTGAGTAAATTGTTGGAGGGAAATTTAATAAAATCTTTTCATTAATAATTTTGCGAACCTGTGTCCTTAAACTAATTGGAATGCATATAGAGGTAATTCGACTTTAATAAGATTTTGGTAGCCGGTCAATGCTGGAAAGTTCATAAGATTTTATGTCAGCAATGTGGTATATTTTTGTAATTGATCATTATCGTTCCATTATTTTATGAGGTAAGATATGCTTATCACATATAGAGAAATTGAAAATATGTTTTCCTAACTTAAAGAATGTTGCACTTGTTTCTCTATGAAATGCTTTCTGTGTTTAATAGTAAAGAGTAATGCCTAGATTATAATAATTCTTGTTCAGGGAGGACTATTGATCTCTCCTGGAAGTTGATTTTATCTGTGCTTCAGGTAACTGTGTCGGCCTGTCTTGTTTCCCTGAAGTGGTTTTGTTGGAATGTGTAATTTCTCCTCTTCTTTAATATTCTGATTTTGTTAGCATTTTTATTTTTGCAGTACACGCCCGCAATTGATATATGGAGCATTGGATGCATTTTTGCAGAAGTGCTGACAGGAAAGCCATTGTTTCCTGGTAAAAGTATCGTGCATCAATTAGACTTGATCACTGACCTTCTTGGAACACCACCAACCGAAATTATTGCAGGAGTATGGTCCACACTTTTGTTTTATTACATAATCTTAATTCTCTCGTGGTTTTTAATGTTGATTATTTGTGTACATGCTATTCAAAATTTTCACTATTTGATTTTATTCAAATTTTGTATAGGTTCGAAATGAGAAGGCAAGGAAGTACTTGATGGACATGCGGAAGAAACTTCCTGTGCCATTTGAACTAAAATTTCCAGATGCTGATCCATTGTCTCTTCGCCTATTGCAAAGGCTTTTGGCATTCGACCCAAAGGATCGGCCCACAGCTCAAGAGGTATCTTCTTTCCTAGCGTGGCATATATTATGCCCCATATAGAGACTATCTATTGGGGGCTGTATCAAGATATTTGAATTGGATTTATTTATATCTTTTTTAACATGAATTAGAGAGAATCCATTCTTTGTTTGGTTGGCAGGCGCTAGCTGATCCTTTCTTCAAGGGTTTGGCCAGAATTGAGAGAGAACTTTCTTCTCAGCCAATTTCAAAAATGGAGTTTGAGTTTGAGAGAAGGCGGGTGTCAAAAGACGATATTAAGGAACTAATATATCGGGAAATACTGGAATATCATCCGCAGCTGCTTAAAGATTACAAAAATGGAACTGAAGGCACAAGCTTCATGTACCCTAGGTCAGCTTAACAATGGTTACCTTTCTTATTTGCTGATGTTACATTTCCACGTTGAAAGTAGAAATATCTGCATTGCTTGTTAAAAACTGTGATATTTTCCTTGCAGTGCAATAGACCAGTTCAGAAAGCAATTTGCTTATCTTGAAGAGAATAATGGTAAATGTGGTCCGGTGATTCCTCCAGCAAGGAAGCATGTCTCCCTTCCAAGGTAAGAACAACATAAGTTTTGCAGTTTTAGTATTCAATTCCCTGCTATATCGTATTGGCTTGCATGTTGAGTTTGGTTGCGTTTTTAAACTTTATTTTCAGATGGTTATGTCATAATCATATCTTTTTTTGTTGTTTTGTTTTTGGAAGGTCCACTGTTCTCTCTAGTACAATTCCTCCCAGTATGCAACCATTCAAAATTTCTAGAGCAGCAGAATCAAATACTTTAAGCCAATCAAAGGGTTTACGACCTCCTCCAAGAGCGCCAGCAGGTATGAAGTGTGTTTCTTTTCATGAGTGATTTAGTAAATTCATTAGAATTCAGAACCAAGAGAGATACAGAGAGGACAAGATAAACCAAAAATAAACAAAATGAATATGAACTTAGGTACTAATATGGTTTCATTTTTCTTTCCTCACTTCAGCCAAACCAGGTAGAAGTATAGGGCCTGTTCACTGTGACAATGGCAGAAGCACAAAAGATAATTATGATGCAAGAATCTTCTACCAGAATACTATTCCTCAATCAATCTCTCCACATCCTTTCCAAAGGGTTGCACACGCACAACGAATTTACAAGGATAATTCACAAGGCAAACATCAACTCTCACCACAGAAGCGTAGCGTGCCACCCAGACCAGCCATCGATCTTAATACCAATCCATACCACCAGCAGGCCAAGAATGATCTGTTAAACGATCCTGTCACTGTTATTGACACAAAATTGTTAAAAGCACAATCTCAATTTGGCGCAGCTGGTGCTGCTCACAGGCATTCTGCAGGCGTTCAGTATGGAGTGTCATAGATTGGGAGCTCTCAAAGAGAGATTTGCCACAAATGCTTTGTGCCTAAGTTAGGAAGTAAAATTTTAGCTGGTTTAGTTTTTGTTTTCTACGTCTGCTTTCATCTTGTCACCCTTGTAATTAATTATATGTACATCATTTAATTTAAAAATATTGATTGTTCCTCTCCCTCTTTTGATGAATAAATTAACATGAAATTGCAAATAAATTCTATTCGGACACTGTTTGATTTTAAACTTTAATTGAATCAGTGGCAGTACTTAGCCATCATATAACAGATATCTTGAAAGTAGGCTTCATAGGGTAGCCGCATTGGTTTGATGAACTCGGATTCATTTAAGAAGGTATGATAAGGAGGACATTGTTCAAGCTAGTTAGACTTACATAATGGCTCAATTTCTGGATTTATGATCATTTCACTGTATCTGGTAACATCAGATGTGACATCTCCATTGCATGGCTTTCCATTGTTCTTCCAACAACTTCCTATTTCCATGAGGTAGAGTTGACTCTTTGGACCCCACTTTGGTACCTACAAAATTTTGGATTAATCATTATTCCTTTTTAAGTATTACTTTTTTTAATAATTTTTGTTCATTTTTAATTGTCAGTTCAAGATAATATTAATTGCATTTTTGTCAAAATTATTCCTAGGTAATCATTATAGAGAGAAAAAGTAAAATGAATGTAATAAATAATTAAGAATATTATAGGTAAAAGGAGAATTATTATTTAAAATATAATTATTAACTAACTTGATATGTGTAAAAAGTCAAAAAATGACATAGAAACAAATGAAGTACTTATTTTAGGATTGAAATCCTAATCACTAAACAAAGGAAAAATCTAGGACGTACGGTTACTCGAAACATGACATCGACACTGACATGTCGACACCAGTAATAATTTTTAAAAAATAAATAAATAAAACATAATTATAAATGTTAATATCGATTTTGAACACGAACATTGACACAGGCACATATTGTGTTGCATAGAGAATAAACAACTCACAATTTTGGACATATCTCTTGTTTCATATTGGTAGCCACCAGAGAATTCTGTTGTAGAATCTGATCTCAAATAGAGCATTAACCAAGGATATTTAGAAGAAATCTTCAACACATGATGAAAATCCAGCTTCCTTCACCAACCATTTTCTCCCAAGTCACAGTAATAAGATTGTCATTCATATTTCCTAATTTTGCATGATTAGCATTCAACTCCGATAAACCATAGAAACTTCCTCTCATGATCATCTTCTTTTCCTTACTATAACACTTTTGTATAATTGTGGTACATTGAAGGCATATTCATACACCCTTTTCTAAAATAAGGAAACTGATGAGTTTGTGGGAATGGCTTTGCTTTGAAGCCATTTTTGGGACAATCTGCTGCTAATGTATCCGTGTTTCCACTTTTGAGCATTATCATTCAACATTGCCATTCGGAGTGTCTAACTCCTTCCATGCTGCATAATTGTTGACGTTTTCCGTCTTCAAAAGAAGGTGCTTATCGATTGATATGCCTAGCCTGTCCTTCCATTTCTTTCACCCTGTGAACCAATTCCACCTCTTCTCTAAATCATCATAAAATCATAAAAAGTTAAGTGTCGGTGTCTGATACGTATTGATGTTTGAGACACATGTTAGAAAACTCAAATAGGTGTCGTGATCACTTGCTTGGACGCTCAGAGTGTTAGAACAAGATTTGGTTCTGCCAGATATCTCTAAATTTTGATAATAACAAAATAGTATTTGTGTGAGAACAATTTTGATACTCTAACGTTTGCTTATCTGAAGAATTAACAAACAGGTTCTGACTCTGATAGAGAAAGCCCTGACTTTGATAAAGACCATGTGCAATGTTACTCTGATCTGACCAAAGTCGCTTCTGCGCCATAAGAAGCAAGTCTGCTTCTAATATATTCATATTAAGAAAGATTATGAAAAAACAATATGTTGCTGCTGCAATATTCTCTTGATTTTTGCCTCTAAGCATGACTCTGATGTTTTACTTCTGAAGGCTGTCTAGCTTCTGAAGTCATTATCTTCTGAAGACTAAGTGCTGAATACTCTGAAGACAAGGTTCTGCTGAACAAAGTTTTGAAGACTCTGAAGACTTGAGTTTGTGAAGATTAAGTGCCGAAGACTCTGAAGACAAAGTTCTGCTGAATGACGTTCTAAAGACTCTAAAGACTTAAGTTACTAAAGACCAATGGTTTTGAAGACTGAGTGCTTAAAGTTTTGAAGATAAGGTTCTGATGAACAAGTTCTGAAGACTCTGAAAACTCAAGACTCTTAAGACCCACTGATCAACTCTTCTACTCATGCTTCAATCATCTCTATTCAGAAGCCTCTGGTGTACAGAAGATAAGCTCAAACGTTTATGAGAGAAAATAGTACATAATACATTTCAACGTTCCATTCCACTACCTTTCCACTACTCTGATTTGGTGGTACAAAGAACAACTTTTGTATAAGATTTTCATCCCTGCGTAACGACATTATTTCAAGTCGTCAGCTATCTAAAGAACATTCTTGATCTGCCCTCAAACAGATCCTTTTCTGACTAGATAAGGACTTGATGACTTGAAGAAGGATAAGAGATTGGAAATGATTATCAACGATTGAAAAAAAGAATGAATGACAATAATTGAACGATCTATGAAGAACTGAAGCAACAATATTGAAGCACCACAATACAAAGAAAGAACATTGTTCATACTGCAAGAGTTTCATTAAGTCATTTGAGCTATTAATAGTGTTTATATCTGCTTGTGTAGAAGCAATTCATTGTAAAATTTTTTGTTCAAACAATTGTTTGTAACTCCTTAAAGGATCAGTTGGACCAGAATCCTTAAGAAGAGACAATTAGTCTATGTTGTTAGTCACCAGCGGTTGCTAGTGCAGATTGTAATTCCTTAAGGCACCAGTTGGGTCAGAATTCTTAAGAAGAGACAATTGTCTGTGTTGTTAGTCACCAGCGGTTGCTAGTGCAATGTAATCAGTTGATAATAGTGGATTACGTTCTTGTGTATAAGGCGAAATCACCTTGGCGGATGGACTAGATTATCTTGATAGTTTTAAAGTGAAACAGGATATGTCGTGTGTCTTTCTCTCTTTTTAGTTTATTTGTGATCTTTATTTGAGTTTCACGAAAAACTTTTATTTTTGAAAATCCAATTCGAACCTCCTTTCTTTTGTTTTCTCAAACCTTCAATTGACATCAGAGCTCCGGTTCTGATTGTGATAAAAGTTTTATCAACACTTCACCGTGTTTAGTACTGATCCAATATTTATGTGAAATATCATGGCTATAACTAATGCTAATCTTATTCTAGATGAGAAAGATCATTACAGTGCCAAACCACCAGTCTTTCATGGTGAAAATTTTGACTACTAGAAAGATAGAATTGAAAGTTTCTTTCTTGGTTATGATGTAGATCTTTGAGATCTTGTTGTTGATGGCTATACTCACTCAGTTGATGCTAAAGGAGTAAAAGTATCAAGAAGTTCTATGACCAACCAACAAAAGAAAGATTACAAGAATCATCACAAGGCAAGAACTATACTGCTAAATGCTATCTCTTATACTGAGTATGAGAAGATAACAAACAAAGATACTGCCAAGTCCATTTTTGATTCTCTAAGAATGACTCATGAAGGAAATGCTCAAGTTAAGGAGACAAAGACGCTTGCCTTAATCTAGAAATATGAGGCATTCAGAATGGATGATGATGAAACAATTGAGAATATGTTTTCAAGGTTTAAAATGCTAGTCGCAGGACTTAAAGTTCTAGACAAAGGATACTCAACTGCTGATCATGTCAAAAATATCACCAGAAGCCTTCCCAAGAAATGAAGACCTATAGTAACTTCTCTTAAACTATCCAAGGATCTGAATAGTATAAGTTTTAAAGAACTTGTCAGTTATTTGAGAAGTCATGAGATAGAACTGGAGGAAGATGAACCTCAGAAGAAAAATAAATCTATTGCTCTTAAGTCTAAACATGAAAAGGAAAAGGCTTATCAAGCTGAGGACGAATAAGAAGATTCTGATGAAGATTCATAAGATGAGCTATCACTTATCTCTAGAAGGATCAACAAACACTAGAAACATAGGCAAGGGAAGTTCAGAGGATCAAGAAGAAACAAAAGTCATGCTGACTCATCATCTAGATAGAAGAAGCAAAGTTCTAAAAAAGAAGTCATCTGCTATGAGTGTAATGAGCCAGGTCATTACAAGAACGACTGTCCAAAGCTTAAGAAAGACAAGAAGCCTAAGAAGAACTTCACCAAAGTCAAGAAGGGACTCATGGCAACTTGGGACGAGTATGATTCTGAAGAAGAAGAATCTGATGAAAAATAGGAAAATGTTGCACTAGTGGCAACAACAATTAACGCTGAAGTCTCTAGAGAACCAGAAGACAAAATGCTATAAGAATCAGAATCAGACTCAGACTCAGAGGTATTATCTAAACTCTCTCGTTGTAAATTAGAGTCGTGTCTTTTAGAAATACTGGAAAGATATCAAACTCTTCAAAGTAAATACAAGATCTTAAAAAATCCCATGTAATTACTTCTAAAGCAAGAGATAAGCTTGAATCGAATAATTCTTCTTTGAATGAAAATGTTTTTTCTTTAAAAAATAGTAACTGTGCTTTGAAAAGAAAAGTTTCTAAACTAGAAGAAGAATTAGTCTCAAACATCTCTGACACTAATTGTGCCAACAAGTATGATAGAGCATTCCAACACTTTCTGGCTAAAAATATAGATAGAAGCAAGATTGCTTCCATGATTTATGGAGTTAGCAGAAATGGTAAGAAAGGTTTAGGGTGTACAAAAACATTTGAATATGACGAAAGTCAACCTGTAAAACCAAAACCTCTCTATGATCATTCCGTGCCTTATGGTATTAAGCTTGATTGTTCTGAGCTTGTGAAAGCACCTTCACCGACACAGAAATCTATTTCTAAACCTAAGTATCATGCACAAAATCC